TGTTTATCTTAAGATTTAAAATTTTATATTAATTTACAAAATAATACTTATTTATCAATTGATTCAATAGCATAGTTGTATTATAGGCATCTACTTACTAATTGATTCAATCGTTAGAGTTCAAGCATAGATGTATTGTGGTTTCCATCGCATTTTCTTCCTCTGTATTTATAATAAGATCAAACATTACTTTTTCACACAACATTTTATTTAAAAATATAAATTTAATTACCAAAAACTTTAGTAACTTAGAAGTAAACTCCCTTAAATGAAAATAACAGATTTTAACAAAAGTGCATGTTATGCTAAATGAGATGAGTAAAAAAATAAGATTGTTCTCTTATTATGTAATTAAAAATTAAAAAAATGTAAATAATTATAATTAATTATTTTAATAAATATTTTACATATTTTTATAATAATATAAGATAGAAAAATTTAATAATAGAACAGAGTACCATACAACGTTCCCAAATGAAGCTTGTTTTCATTTAATTTTGGATTTCAAGCTTTGGTTTACCGAAGCGTTGGATAAGAATGATGTTAGCATTAATCCTAATGGTGATCACGGGTACGTGTGGATTGTCCCACTGCCTTCAACGTTGCAATACAGGCTGGGCCCTTAACTTCTTTTTTCTTTTTTTAACAATTTGTTAAAGGACGGGATCAAAATCAAACCTACCTAAACGAAAGAGAAGTACACTTATTTAACGTGACTAATGTTACTAAACCTAAATGATCAAGTGTTACTGGACCCTTAACTTATTGATCAATCCAACTCATATTTTAATAACTTTCTGTTCTTGGACAGACCAAAAATGAAAATCATTGCAAGTTCACACATGGAAAAAATTTTAATTCATGCATAATTTCTCAGTAAGCTACAGATGCCTAAGAGTCTAATAACCAATGATGGTTTGTTACTCATTTTTTATATAGTTTTTTTTTTTTTTTTCTAATTGTCACACCTTATTAAACATGACAGTAATGAGTTTGTTTTAATCATGTGCGAGACGGCTTCTGAAATTTGAAGAAGGATTAATCACGTTAAGCAAGCGCAAGCTTTGACTGCAATCGAAATTTAGTCAGTCCATCCACTAAGACTTTTACTGATTGGGGCATTCTAGACAAGAGGCTGCTACATCATTCTTTATTTTCTTTTAGCAAATTCCTACGCGGAGTCAAAGCCAAACTCAATTAGCCACGCCACTTCAGGCTGCTATAATCTTTTTATGTTCAACAATAATAATAATAATAATAATAATAATTATTATTATTATTATTATTATTATTATTATTATAAAAAAAATTATAAAACATCGTAATATTTTAAATGTTATGATATTTAATTATAACTATATAATAAATTTAATAAAATGAAAACTTATATTACATTTCACTTATTTAATAATTGTAATTAGATATATTAATATTTTAAATATCAAAATATTTTAAATTGTTTCTTTTATTATTATTATTATTATTAAAATTCATTATTTTACAGTTTTAATTATTTTAGAGTGTAAAGAAAAATCCTTTGATGAGACTTTTAATAATAGGGGTTTATTCCTTACTTAAAGGTTAATATTAAATATTATCTTAATTTTTAATTTAAATTAAAAATAATTAAAATATAATATATAATATTTATATATAAATAAATCTTACAATATATATGTTTGTATATATATAAATAAGAGTGTCTCTACGAATAATTACACTCATTTTGACATCATTAAGCATTATCAGTTGTCCAAAATATACAGCTCTTGTACTTCCCCATCGTTTGCTGTTCACATTTATTAAATGTGTGATTATTTAATGTGATTTTTAATATTAAATAATTATTTAATGTGTGAATAATGTTCCAATGAAAAAAGGGTTTCCGACGTCTTTGACTTTCAAAGCGGAGGTGGACGAATTTGTTTCAAGGGTTGCGGCAGTTAGTGCTTCGGTCTAGGAAGCTATGGCTACCGTTGAATCTCATAGCCATGAAAACACTGCTCTTTCGTTGAACAAAGGATACCTTTGCAGTGACCTTTTCAAACTGGCTTCCATCCTTCGAGAAAGTCTCTGCAACTTTTTCTTCCTTCCTTTTTTTTTTTTTT